GATCGACATTAGCTCCATTGTGTAAGAGCAGATACCCAGTGCATTTCGTAGCTGTGGATGTGAAAAGTGCGAGAACTATCGTGGATCAAGCCTTCTCGGTGCCAAAATGCGTAAGACTAGCGAGAAAGTCAGAAAAGTCTTACGAGTTAATGTGTAAAATATTCTCAGCGGTTCCGGAGAGAACTAAAGAAGAGTTAGAGTCGATACTGGGAAAGAAGTTCATGGGATACGCCAGTGGGAACTTCAGTGACTTTGAGCGACAGAAGCAGAAAGGATCAACCGTCACGAATTACAATGCAGTAAATGAAAATGATGAAGTCCACCGAGTGATGATGGAAGTGGAACCACTACTGGAAGCTTCGGGAAAGCGTAATTGGAGGAGCATCATGTCAACACTTGATGAGTTTCCCTGCCAATGTTTGTTGCAAACATGGTGGTACCCGGGCGTAGTAATCTAGTGTTGATCTGGGACTGTAGAGACCTGCTCTCCATGGGTTTACCAGACTCATCACGGCCCATAACGATAGTGATAGTGGGAGTTATGGCGATACGATGGCGATACGATGGCGATACGATGGCTGGAGGCTCATGCGAGAGAAAACAATAGACAGGGGGCACCGACGAGAGAACAGTTGCAGAAATTGGATTGTCTAAAGGACTTAGATCTTTTTGAGACAATGTGCAAAATCTTGAACATTCCGATGGAAGTGAAATAGATATGGGCCAGGAGACGTCTGATGCCATTGCTTAGAGCCAACATGACTGCATGGCTGTACGAATATGCCAAGATTGTACCGTGCGTATCAACTGGACATTGGGGCAGGAGGTTTCAAGCGAGCATTTGTAACTCATCGGATTGCAGTGACCAAAGGAATGAAGAGATTTTCCAGGACGAGTGAAAGTAACGGAAGGGAGAAAGAAGAGATGTTGAAGGAAGATTTGGAGAGAAACCTGACGTCGTGTCTCCACAACAGCTTCTGCAGGAACAGAGAATCTAACGTTGTTCCCTACCTTGTTGTAAACAAAGAGTAGAAGAGCAGAAGGTTGGAGGATTGCTTCCAACAGCGAGAGAATAGCTACCGATGTGTTGCAAGACACAGAAACTGAAAGTGCAGAGTCAATGTCGCGGGAGGAAGAGATGGAAATTTGACAGAATGGTCGAATAACAAGATGCAAAAAGAAACGAAATTAGAAGAGTTTAGAAGTTTTGGAACTTCTAAACGACGAAAAAAGAGGAAACAAAGAAGTGATGAAAGAGAAGAAGTTTAAACTCAGAATTGTTTTAATTGTGACGAAAAACTCAAATGAGACACAAGTTGTCATTGAAACTGAAAGAAAACATTTAGTTGAGTTTTGAACAATAAAAGAATTTGTTGCATTTATAAATTTGCATTTTGATTTTAGTTAGTGGCTTTAGAGACACTTACTATTTATTTAGAAAGGATTGAGTGAAGAGTATATTTAAATATTCCAGCCTGCATGATTGTTTTTAATCAACTAGGGCGATTGATCACTTTGTGGTGACATGAAAGGCTTGGGTTATCTCTTGAAGAGGGAGATTATTTTCATTTTTCATTGTTCTTTCTAACCACAGAGTTCCTTAATTTATATATTCAGGACTAATAACAAGTAAAACTTCCGAAGGGAAGAAGCATAGTAGGATAATTTTAGCTTGTTGGTTGGCAGGACTGTCCTGTAAACTAACACCTCGTAACACCTAGGAGAAAACGTTTTAATTCAGGGCATTGACATTGGATGTCAGAAAAAATATTGTATCTTAAATCATATCCTCGAAAGTGCAGATTAATGCAAGAATTTGGAAGGCTATAGTGATGTGGTATGATGCCATTTATATTCTGCAGTGAGTCGATATGACGTCGATAAAAGTGATTTCGTGCATTTTGTAATTTTTGTTCAATGGAACTGTAATATTCTTACGAAGACTACGAGATTCAATGGGGATATTGACCTGGCTGTCCGGGAAGTATGTGACATTCAACCAGAATTGACAAAAAGGCAGTTTCGGAGGAATGGCCGGTAGCCTGGAGAATTGGCAGTTTTAGAGGATTAACAGCGTTATTCAGACAATTAGACGAATCGTGAAGGCTAGAAGATTCTGTTCTTTTAAATTTTTAAAATTTCAAATGATGACGTCAGATTTTCTGAGAAACGTCAAGAACGGGCATTTTGGAAGAAATCCAAAATAAAACAGAACAACGATAGAAGTTGCGGAAACAACAACGACGATACTTGTGAGAGAAACGACGAAAAGAGATAGAAGAATACGCCAGAGTATTAGCAGAGACCGCTCCGAGTTGCAATGATTGCGTCGCTACAATCGTTGCAAGGCCATTCACACTAACGGTGAAGGGTGGAAACCAGCCTTCCGGAGAGGAGAGAGGAAATAAGGGGGTTATTTCCCCGGATTCAGGAATCCGGAGGGGTTCTGGGACTTGAACTTGAACCAGTTTATACGACTTTTTAGCTTCCTGGTTATGTCCTTAATTGAATTTAATCAACATCTGGATTCATTTTCTGACGATGAGAAGCTAGGAGTTGAGGGAAAGGGTTGATCCATCTTCGATGGAGATGATGATTTTTGTCTACTGAACAAAAACAATAGTAATATAAGAAATAGTAATAGTCCTGTTTTTAGGAGTGACCTCGTGGTCTGGGGATACTGAGTCCCAGCCATGAGCTCACTACTTTTGCATGTAAGTAAGTTAATTTGAGCGTTCTGGTCGAAGCCGGAGAACAGTAACGTTTTTGTCGAACCGATGTTGAAAAGATCACCAAAATAACTGGCTTTGGTAGAGACGGTGAAAAGCATGTTCAGCTTTGTTTAGACGCTGGCCAGTCGTTTTATAGCTTAGCTTTATTTTCCGTCGATATGTACTTCCGGGCGAATGTTTACAATAATAAATAAGTAGTAGCCCTGTTTAAAGGAGTGACCTCGTGGTCTGGGGATACTGAGACCCAGCCATGAGCTCACTATTTTTGAAAGTAATTCAGTTAATTAGAGCGTTCTGATCGACGCCGGAAACAGTAACGTTTTTGTCGACCCGATGTTAGAAAGACCACCAAAAGAACTGGCTTTGGCAGAGACGATGTAAAGCACGTAGAGCTGTGTTTAGACGCTTTGCCAGTCGTTTTAGAACCTAGCTTTATTTTCCGTCGATATGTACTTCCGGGCGAATGATACAAACAATTTTTTTCGTTATTAAAAAACACAACCGATAACAAGTATTTCCTTCTAATTTTCTTCTAATTTTGGACGAAAAAGACACCTTTTTTTCAAAGCATAGTGCTGCTGCAGTAAACTCAGAATGTTTTTTAAGATATCTGCTTTTGCCTATGTTATGAAGTCTCATATCCATAAACAATCTATCTAACATAAAATAGTTTGTTTTTCATCTAAAAGAAATTATTTGGAACAGTAAGTTTGCCTAAATGTGGTAAACGCTACAAGAAGAACATTGGTTCTTAGTCCTACTGAATCATCCCAATTGGCCATTGAACAGCGGACTCAAAATTTTCAGTAAACATCTTAAATAGAAAATTTTATATTGAAACATTAGCTTTTTTGCTATCCTATTTCAGAAATCGGCTCTTTTCCACTTCCCCCCTTTCAAAACACCGAGTTTTATAATTGTTTTACCTGTTATTACGGCTAAATGCGTCATGTTACGCTGTGAAATATGAATAACAAATCTGTTCATAATTGTCGATTTGTTCACCAAGTCAATTTTCATTACATTATGACAACGTTAAATAGATTCTTCTATCTCTTATCGCACGTTCGTTTTTTTCTCTCCAACTTGAATTTTAATTTGAATTTTCTAAGACAAATTTTCGAGAGATATTTCTGGGAATTTTTAAGAAAATATCTTGATATCATGATATAATTTTCAAGATATCATTATTGGGCCGTTTGATTATTATCTGCTCGATAAAATAGATTTTAGCAATCAAAATTCATAACGAAAGATCTGAAGCATTTATGTAGCCTGAGTTTGAATTCAAATTCCATCTCCAGATGAAAAACAACATGCCGAAATTGAAACTGCTTGAATTTTTTGTAACTTTTTTCATTTAGACGATTAAATCATTATCATCGGCAGCATAAGAAGAGATGAATTGCTCAAAAACTAAAATGATGAGCCCTTTTTAACGTAAACGATTGGTCGAAATATTTCGGGTTGCCCTGACAGCATGACTTAGATATTCAGGTTCTGTAAAACGAAACTAGAATTTGAAACTTCGTTCGAGTACATGGAAATTCAATTGATTATTATGCCAAGGGATAGCAATATGCAAAGGATGCGAAATTAATTCAGACCGATTCAGCTTTTTGTGGAAGAAGTGTTTGGAAACAACTGAATGGTGGTCTCGTAAATGCGGACAGCTCTAAATTTTGGAGTAATGCTGATTTGAAAACAAATTAAAACGAGTCTTACTCATCCATATATAGACTTTTCCTAGGTTTTTGACTGGATAATGTGATGAAGGGACTTCTGACTGCAACTTCGATTACTATGATACTGTCGACCTTCTGATACGGATGAAAAGTTCCCGATGAACTTTGATATTTCCTATCGAAATTCTCAAGCAAGACAGTATGTGCATTTAGAGACACGTTTATCTTGATTTCACGTAGTTTAGCGGGACCACTTTTCTAAGCAAGCTTTTTGAGTGTGATTCACAAGAGGGGCAGTACCGTACCAAACATCTTATATGAAACATTTTTCTAATGTTGTTGCAAAACCAGATATAGTAGTAGTAGTTGTAATGAGCATTCGTGCCCCATTGGCACATAGTTTGCTCCCTTATCGTTTGTCTGAGATGATTGTCATATTCTCCAAGTGCTGCTGACAATCTCATTGTAGTTCGTTGTCATGTATGACCAGAGGTGGATGAGAATTCGTTTCTTAAGTCCTATTGGGTCTCCAAATCTCACGCCTTTATCAATATTCTCCAAAAAAATGTTAATAACTTTTTTCAGATGACGATGGCCAACTCAGTTCCATACATCGGTAGTCGGATGAACTTGATTTCAAAGGCAGAAATTCGATACGAAGGTTTTCTTCACGAGATAGACACACAAGCGACAACTGTCACTCTAAAAAACGGTTTGTTGTTCTGCTATTCAATTAGATTCTTAAAACAAAGATGTCAATAGTTTTTTTTACTTATAGTTAGATCGTTCGGAACTGAAGGACGTCGAGCAGATAAAGTCATTGGGCCTAAAGATGATGTCTTCCAGTATATTATTTTTCGGGGTACAGACATAAAAGATATATCCGTGTGTGAAGGACCTGTTGTACCTCCTTTCGCTGATCCAGCTATCGTTCAATCTGGACCTCCTGCTAGTGGCAGACCACAGCAGGGAACGGTACCCAGCTCGTCAGTAACATCCATGACGCCAGACGCAACATCACCAACCCCGTCTTTTCCACCGTTCGCAATGCCAGCAATGTCACAAGCGAAATCCCATCCCCCTTCAGGTGAGGATATTTATGCGAACTATTCTCAAAACGCGTAAAACTTTGTCATAATGCTCCTAATTCTATTTTAACTGAAATAAAATGACAAACAAGTTTCACTTAATTTGGGAAGCATGGATTTAGATTGTTGAAAAAAAAATGATCATAGCTTCTGTAAAATGTTCAGTTCCATCGCCCCAGCTATTCAGAGATGCGACACAGTCTAGTGATTCACAGCATATTTCGCCAGACACACTCGCAGATCAAGGTAGATCAATGAATTCTAACACAGATCATAATCAAAGCCGCGGGAATAATCAGAGGCCGAATATGCGAGGAGGAGGAGGAGGAGGCGGTTATAGGAACGACCGAGGCGATAACAACCGAAGGTTTGTTAGTTTGATGTTATATTCAGCCATAATTTAATTCACCGTGAACTTAAAAAAATTCAATTGAAGTAATAGTGTGTTTTCAAGTTATTCTGCAGTTACCAACCGTCAGCAGTTCAACAGGGGTTACAACAACGAATACGCCCCTAGATCATACACTTATAACCCAGCTGGAAACCCTTACAATAACTCTTACGGAAATAACGGGTTCAATAGAAACAATAATACGGGAGCCTCGTCGTTGAACTCAGGGGACAGAGTTAACAATAGACCAATGGGACAACAAAATCGCAACAACTACAACAACTATCAGGTACCCTTCAAGATATCTCATTTCAAAGCAGTTTTGTCATGAGTCTCCTGTGATAATTCGTAGCTGTTGCTCCAGTTAGATGATCACGAAATAAACTAATGATATAATACTTTTTACTTTCTGCAGAATAACTATCGCTGGAATCAAGGAGGTATGAACCGCAGAATGGGACCAAGGAACAGAGACGATACTACGGGAACAGGTGATCTGAAGATAGACGAAGATTTTGACATTGATGATGCCAACAGGAAATTCGACAAAAGCCAGCTGGTGAAAGAGTTTGCAGGCCTGAATGTCCAAGAGGAAGGTTAGTTGACGAAGTTCAACATTGATGCCTTGAAACAAGTTCAGAATTCAGAAGAGCTCTTCAACAAAAATATATGTCAATGTTATCTGATTCAAAAGATAAGGCTGCCGGCACAGTTAGCTGATTAAGAGATGAAGTATACATTATAATTCAGATGTCTTAAATTTCAATTCCATTGTCGGTTGTATTTTCATGTTCAAGGTTTTGAAGTTTCAGTTTTTATTGACTTCTGTGTCTGGTAACATGAAAAATTGTCCATTCTACTAGTAAATTTTGTATTTTCTTAGCTTCTAAAGTGTAATTTACTAGTAGAATGGACAATTTTTTGTCACCATACGCAGAAGTCAATAACAATTGAAACGTTTAAAACCCGGAAATTATGTTGAAAGCACATTAATTTAACTGAATTTTGTTCATTTCTGGATAAAGTTCACTATCTTTCTTAATTTCATATTTTACATTTGAAGTTGAGTTTTTTTCTTCAGTTTGATTTGTTTTAAGCCGAATCTGAAGCACAGGTGCATAACTTGGCAGATCTGGAGGAGGGAGAGGTGGGAGATGAGTCACAGAAGACAGAGGCGGCCAAATTCTACGACAAGTCCAAGTCATTCTTCGACAGCATCTCATGCGACGCTCTGGAAAAGAAGTTAGTTGCTTTCGATAACTTTCAATTTTTATAACAAAACAAATTATTTAGTGTGATGAAAAGATGAGCACAAAGAATCAAATTGAACCCATGATATACTAGAAGGCGAATCTGATCTATGTTCTGAAGATTTGGATATTTGAGATTTGATGAAAACGATGACACTCAAAAATATTGATCTCATGATATACTTGAAGGCGAATCTGATTTAAAGCACGGTTTATGAACATTATATTGCAACTATTTCTATTGGAGGCGTATTCTAGAAAACTAGGTAATATGAAAATGCTGTAACTGTTTGACAATAATCACGATCCATGTTTTGACCAATTCGGTGTGTTGATATGTACTCTCTCAAACGTTTTTCTATGTGGTGTCTCTTGTAAGATTTAATCATCTGACAGTGGTGTTTTTTCCTTTAATGGAAGTGATTGCTGGTGATAAGTAACCCATCATTCTGTGTTCAGAGTCCACGATGTGAATAATGCTTACGCTTGCGATTAGCAAGCGTTATCGAACTGGAATATGGGCTTTTTTCTAGTTAACAACTAGTTCAACAAAATCAATTGAATCACTTGCTGACTTCTTTTCACTTCTCATCTCTTTTTATCTTCCAGGTGGCTTCCCCCTTGGCCTGGAGGGAAACCAGTTGCCGTTGTATCCTAAGGTCTGGGGTTCGAGTTGTAGCCGGACCTTGTTTTTTCAGTATTAAGAAAAAAAAATCCCGAAAAAAATGAATAGTTGGTTTTTCATTTGTTCGCCCATGTTTTTTGCCGTCTAAATTGTCACAAAGAATTTTGCTTGTGCTGTAGACAATTTTCATTGTAGTAGCAAGTGCAAGCGTTGTTCATTCTAACTTCAGGGGGAACTTGAACGATGTAAAAAAAAAGCTACGCTTCGCCTGTGTGTCTAAGTAGTGTTTGGCTTCATAAACTGGTCAATTTACTCCTTCAATCATATAGAGAATGATAAATTTTAAGGCAGTATAGCTATTAAATTAAGATTGTATTTGATCCGGGTTTAATTTCACTTGCAACATCAAGTGTCGTCTAATCGGGAGCTAGAATTTGTTTCCCGTAAACACCTTCATTAACAAATCTGTAATTGTACTGTTTTATGGAAATTCACGCCCTTCGCGCTTGGTCAGTGGCGAAGCGAGTTATTTTGGGTCCTAAGGTCTGGAGTTCGAATCCCGGCCGCACCCTCGTTTTTTTGATATGTATGAAATAATATTTTTTTGAAAATTTGAATTAGACAATAGTTTGTCTGATTATTTTTTGTTGACCTAGTTAAAAAAATAGCTTGCTTAAAATTAACTCTACCATATGTAAAATTAGGATTTTATTTTATTCACCCTGAAATAGTTCAGCTTATTTTAGATAACCTTAGTCGTCTTACATTTCGTCTTTTGAAGAGCAATTATGACCCTCGCGAAATCATTTTTTCCGAACCCATCACGCAAAGACACCTTGGGGAACTGATAACTGATTGACGAGACTCACTGAATATGTTTTGTCAGGTTTAGTTTTAAGCATGAAATTGGTGTCGTTGAAACAAATTTTCCATTAAACAGACAACTGAAGAATTTGCAATAACTCGATTTTTGACGATACTTTGTCAATGACTGTGTTGGCTTTCCACCTTGGGGAACTGATTACTGATTACTACTGAAAAGAAGTAAAACACTACTTTTTTAATGATTGGTCTTTTGTATGGGGAACTGATTACTGATTGACAATTTTCACTGAATAATTTTGTTTGATTTTTAGTTTGAAGTTGGTGTCATTTTGGAACCGATAAATGAATGAAATCGCTCACTTTGGGAAAAGTTTATATTATGCTTTCAGAGTTTGTGTTCGAAAATCTAATTCTGGGATTAAATGGCTGAATTAAAAAGAATTTAGTTTTTCCTAACAAATTTCTTGAAACTGCGAGCCAAAAAGTTTCGTTATTTTGAACAAACTGTAAGGCTACTGATCAGAATTTAGTAAGGTTTTTTCTAAGTTTTCAACTGTTTTATTGAGTTGATGGTTTGTGATTGCTTTGAACACTTATTGATTAAAACCGAAGGCTTTTTGCGGTTGTTCTTTTGTCGTTATTTAGGTTCGTAATTTTCTGTTTTCGGATGTTGTGAACCTCAACTCTTCATGCATTTTTTCCTTGGGGAACCGATTAGATTACTGATTTCCGATTAAATAGATTGTTTTCGTTGATAGTATTTGATAAATCGTATCGAAAAGAGTTGTCCTTGAACAGTTTTTCCTGCCCTTAAAAAATAGAATGATTTTGAATTATATCTCATTTTTGACGGTTATCTGTTAGTGATTGTGATGGCTCTTCACCTTGGGGAGCTGATTACTAGTTGACAATTTTCACTGAGTAATTTTGTTTGATTTTTAGTTTGAAGTTGGTGTATTGAAAGACTTTTTCCGGAAATAGACATATAAATATTTTGATTTATCTTAATTTTTTGCTTAATATTTTACAGTGAGAGTGATGGCATGTTTTGGAAACAATAAATGAATGAAATTGCTCTATTTGGGAAAAGTTTATAATATGCTTTCAGAGTTTGTGTTCGAAAATCTAATTCTGGGATTAAATGGCTGAATTAAAATGTTTAATTTTTCCTAACAAATATCTGGAAACTGCGAGCCAAAAATTTTCGTTATTTTGAACAAACTGTAAGGCTACTGATCAGAAGTTAGGATGGTTTCTTCTAAGTTTTCAATTTTTTTTTGATGAAGGTTTGTATTTGCTTTGAACACACTGATTATTGATCTAAACCGAAGGCTGATTGCGGTAGTTCTTTTGTCGTTATTTATCTTCGTAATGTTCCGTTTTCGAATGTTGTGAGCCTCAATTCGTGATAATTTTTCTTCTCTCGGAACTAGTTACTGATTATGGGTTGTTCTTAATGATAGTTTTTGATAATTTGTTTCGAAAAGTTTGCCCTTGAAAAGTTTTGCCTGCCATTAGATTATAGAATCATTTATTTTTATATCTCATTTTTGATGAATCTCTTTTAGTGATTGTGATGGCTTTTCACCTTGGGGAACTGATTACTGATTGACAAAACTCACTGAATCATTTTGTTTGATTTTTAGTTTAAAATTGGTGTCATTGAAAGACTTTTTCCGGAAAAAAAAATATGATCATTTTGATTTATCGTAGTTTTTGCTGATTTGCTGAATAGTTTACAGTGACAGTGATGGCATGTTTTGGAACCGATAAATGAATGAAATCGCTCACTTTTGGAGAAGATTATATTATGCTTTCAGAGTTTGTGTTCGAAAATCTAATTCTGGGATTAAATGGCTGAATTAAAGAGAATTTAGTTTTTCCTAACATATTTCTTGGAATTGCGAGCCAAAAAGTTTCGTTATTTTGAACAAACTGTAGGGCTACTGATCAGAATTTAGTCTGGTTTTTTCTAAGTTTTCAACTGTTTTATTGAGTTGATGGTTTGTAATTGCTTTGAACACTCATTGATTAAAACCGTAGGCTTATTGCGGTTGTTCTTTTGTCGTTATTTAGGTTCGTAATTTTCTGTTTTCGGATGTTGTGAACCTCAACTCTTGATGCATTATTTCCGTGGGGAACCGATTACTGATTTCCGATTAAATAGATTGTTTTCGTTGATAGTATTTGATAAATCGTATCGAAAAGAGTTGTCCTTGAACAGTTTTTCCTGCCCTTAAAAATAGAATGATTTTGAATTATATCTCATTTTTGAAGAATATCTGTTAGTGATTGTGATGGTTTTTCACCTTGGAGAACTGATTTTTGATTGACAATTTTCACTGAGTAATTTTGTTTGATTTTTAGTTTGAAGCTGGTGTCATTGAAAGACTTTTTCCGGAAATAGAAATATAATTATTTTGATTTATCTTATTTTTTTGCTTAATATTTTACAGTGATAATGATGGCATGTTTTGGAACCGATAAATGAATGAAATTGCTCTATTTGGGAAAAGTTTATAATATGCTTTCAGAGTTTGTGTTCGAAAATCTAATTCTGGGATTAAATGGCTGAATTAAAATGTTTAATTTTTCCTAACAAATATCTGGAAACTGCGAGCCAAAAAGTTTCGTTATTTTGAACAAACTGTAAGGCTACTGATTAGATTTTAGTATGGTTTTTTCTAAGTTTTCAACTGTTTTATTGAGTTGATGGTTTGTAATTGCTTTGAACACTTATTGATTAAAACCGAAGGCTTATTGCGGTTGTTCTTTTGTCGTTATTTAGGTTCATAATTTTCTGTTTTCGGATGTTGTGAACCTCAACTCTTGATGCATTTTTTCCTTGAGGAACCGATTACTGATTTCCGATTAAATAGATTGTTTTCGTTGATAGTATTTGATAAATCGTATCGAAAGGAGTTTTCCTTGAACAGTTTTTCCTGCCCTTAAAAAATAGAATGATTTTGAATTATATCTCATTTTTGACGAATATCTGTTAGTGATTGTGCTGGTTTTTCACCTTGGGGAACTGATTACTGATTGACAATATTCACTGAGTAATTTTGTTTGATTTTTAGTTGAAGTTGCTGTCATTGAAAGACTTTTTCCGGAAATAGACATATGATTATTTTGTTTTATCTTAATTTTTTGCTTAATTTTTTACAGTGACAGTGATGGCATGTTTTGGAACCGATAAATGAATGAAATTGCTTATATGGGAAAAGTTTATAATATGCTTTCAGAGTTTGTGTTCGAAAATCTTATTCTGGGATTAAATGGCTGAATTAAAATGTTTAATTTTTCCTAACAAATATCTGGAAACTGCGAGCCAAAAAGTTTCGTTATTTTGAACAAACTGTAAGGCTACTGATCAGAAGTTAGGATGGTTTTTTCTACGTTTTCAATTTTTTTTGAGATGAAGGTTTGTATTTGCTTTAAACACACTGATTATTGATCTAAAACGAAGGCTGATTGCGGTAGTTCTTTTGTCGTTATTTATTTTCGTAACGCTCCGTTTTCGAATGTTGTGAGCCTCAATT